GTTTTATATCAACTTAACCCCCCCCCCCCCCCCCCAAAAAAAACCTATTTTTGTTAGGTAGTTTTGGAGGCCACACCTTTTTTTTATCCAGCAGAACTAGGCCTGAGTTGACTGGCAGAAGTAGCAGTCACACCGAATTTAAAAGCTATTGGAAATTGTACTCTTAAAAAAATAAAAATAAAACCATCAAATTGTCCAGTGGCGCAACACTTTGATTGTATAGTTAGTGAGTTTTTTCACAGCAATATTATGTTAAAACAAATTGCACAAAAGCACTTCAAAACCATAAGCCCAAATTACATGAACCCCCTCCCATCCCCCAATAATTTAAAAAATTTAAAAATAAAAATTGGCCAGCGACATGACAATATGCAAGCACTTGGATGAGCACTAAATTGAAACACAATTGTTATTCACTATAAAAAACTTGGAGTGTATTTTTTCACAGGAAAAAAGCCAGAAATGTTTTACAGACTTGATGCACACTAAGTGTAAGTGGCTTTAGTAGTCTGTAGTGTAGAAAGGAGAGACCAAACAAGTTTCTCATACAGAAATCAAAATTAGAGTGTACTATTTCACAGAGAAAAGGCAAAAAAAGCAAGTCCAGTCCATGCACACTATGTCAGCGGGTTTAGCAGGATGCAGTTTAAGAGGAACAGAACAGGCAGGTTTTAATCAATAAATCAATATTAGCTTTTAATATTTCACAGAAAAAAAGCCACAACTATAGTTCTGACTTTAGTAGTCCGCAGTTTCAGTGTGAGACACCAAGCAGAGCGGCAGAGCAAGTGACACGGTGACACGTGCAGACGGTAGCATCACCTGGGACCGGTGACTGGAGATCAGTGTCAGAGGAGTGAGCAGTGGAGTGAGTGGAGCTGTGAACAGAGCGCTCAGGGGACAATCGGTGCTGTGAGCTGACGCGACCTGAGCGAATCGGGGACCGGTGATCAGTGGAGGAGGAGTGAGCAGTGGGGGTGATCGGAGCTGGGACCGGAGCTCTTCTCATTTGACAGCTGACTCCTCCCCCTCACCACCCTGCTAAGCCTCCGGTAACAGATCAGGAGAGTGGTGTGTGGGTGGAGACAGCTGTCAGCTATCACTGGAGACCCAGCCAGCGTTGAGTGGGAGGAATCAGCTGTCAAATGAAACCGAGCTCTCCTCCCCGCTCCACCCGCACAGGACGGAGCACAATGGAGCGTGACTGAATGGAAGTGGTTAGAGGGGAGAATGATATAGAGACAGTGATTGTGAAGGGGAGTGGATCAGAAAAGAGCTAATGATTGATTGTTTAGGCTGGAGAGACAGACAGGAAGAGCAGGAGTGAGTATCTTTTGGTCTAAAAATCTGTATGTATTTCTAAATGCAGAGAATATTACTGGATATTGAGTTCTTATAGGTATATTAAGCATCAGAGATTGTTGATCCAGGGAATATCCGATTGCCTTATGGAGTCAGGAAGGAATTTTTCCCCCTGTTGGAGCAAATTGAACCATGCTTTATAGAGTTTTTTTATTTTTTTTGCCTTCTTCTGGATCAACAGTGCGTAATTGTGGCCGTAGTGTTCTGTTTAGGCTTTTCTATTTTTTGTTGTTCATACCTCTATAGGTTGAACTTGATGGACATGTGTCTTTTTTATCCTAACTATGAGGTACATTGGGCATTGGCTGTATTAATCTGAAATTACTGGGGTACAAACTGTTTTGCTTTTACTGCTGTGCATTGGTAGTATTGATCTGCTTGGAGTATTGTGTTAATAGTTGTGGGGGCCTAATCAGCAGGCAATATAAACCTATGCCTTGAAAACTTTATATATGATATTTGATTACTAAATTATCACGAAATTATAAAAAAACTATAATAATGTATTCCATGAGTGGGTATGCAACCCGATGCACATCTTGCTCAATGTATGCGTTTCTTGAACAATGCTTTAGATGGTGAATACTGTTGCGCCAGATGTGAGCTAGCTATTTGTTTTGGAAGCCTAGCTTCTGGATCGAAACAATAAACTGGCAACACTGCAGAGCATAAACAACATGGAGAGGAGTCTGGATCTGATGCATCAGATTCTGGTGGAGGGCGGTATAGAGGAGGGGGTATGGAGGAGCAGGATCCTGAGTTGTGTAGCTGGGTTGCTGTTAGAAGGCGGGGTAGAGAGAAGAGTGTGAGAGAGGCCAGACCTGAATTAATAAATATGCCAGGTTGCAGAATGTTGGGGATATTAGTTCAGGGGTGGCATTGCTGGGGCAGGACGCTTGCCCAACTTGCAGGGGGAGTGACTGCTCCAGTAAAGATGGGAGCAGGATGAAGGGACATGAGGGACAGACATTGGTGGTGAGAGATTCTATTATCAAAAGGACAGACAGGGTAATCTGTCATCGGGTCAGTAACCATCGAACAGTCTGTTGCTTACCGGGGGCTCATGTTTGACACATCGCTGAATGGATGGACAGGTTACTGAATACATATATTAGGGATGTACCGAAATTTCGGACGCCGAAACGTATCGGCCGAAAATGGAACTTTAGGCAAAATGCTGCAAGTGCCATCTTTCGGCCGAAATTGTGGTGCATCAATAGTTTCTCTCCTCTCTAGGCACTGCTCTGTATCTCTTCTTACACAGCGCAACTGTCCGAAGCCGAGCGTGGCGGGGAGGAGAGGGCTGTGAGCGTGTCACAGGAGGCTGAGCTCAGTCTCATTTGACAGCTGACTCCTCCCCCTCACCACCCTGCTAAGGAGAGTGGTGTGTGGGTGGAGACAGCTGTCAGCTATCACTGGAGACCCAGCCAGTGTTGAGTGGGAGGAGTCAGCTGTCAAATGAAACCGAGCTCTCCCCCCCCTAACCACCCGCTCAGCCTCCTGTGAGAGCTGATCCAGGATGGAGAGCGGTATACAAACATTCAGCGGTCAGTGATTGCTGAATGTTTGTAAATAATTGGACATAGTATGAGTTACTATGTACAAGTTATGAATGAATGGGAAGTGATCTACATCACTTCCTGTTCATTTATGATTGTGTACATGGTAACTCATACTATATTCACACTTTATGAATGAACAGGAACACTCAGAACAGTATAG